CAAAAATTACGCAAAAGACCGATTAAACGTAAAACTATTGATACAAGATCTGATTATGACAAGAAAAAAATAAAACGCAAACGGTACGCGTTTTTGTTTCATTTCATTTTAAATTTTATGAAAAATTTGTTAATTTTTTAAAACAAATAGAGAAATGATCGAAGCTTCAATTAAAAGATGAATAATGACAATAGATGTATATGTGATGCATGTATACCTCTTTAAGTAGGGAGCATCATCTTTTGTATAATAAGTAATGGCTTCACCCGATTTACCAGCTCTACCAGTTCTACCAATTCTATGAATATAACTTTGTATCGACTGTGGAAAATCATAATTTATAACCAAGTTTACTCCTTTAAAGTCTATACCACGTGCCATCAACTCCGTGGCTATCAACACCCATATTTTTCCTTGGCGAAAATTCAAAACAATTGAATCTCTCTGAATGTTTGAAAAAAAAAGATTAATGCACAAAAATTTGTACGAAATTTATGCAATAAATAAATAAATATTTCTTTATCTATTCATTTATTACTAATTACCTGAGCTTTTGTTCTCTCTGCATGAATAACATCAACGTTAATACCATCATAAATTAATTCATGGAATAATTCTTTAGCACGATCAATTGATTGAACGAAAATAAGAACAGGTGGCTTTAATCCACCCTCTTGAATCAATTGCCGTATAGCTGTTAATTTTCCATTTTCTTCACCAACATAAATAAGTTGTTGTTTTATAGTTTCTGTTGCAGCGTTTCTAATAAAAAATTTGACGAATTACAAAAGACTTTAATATAATAAAAATAATAACAATAATAATTTAAATACCTTAGACCTATGACGATCCTGATGGGATCTTTCATGAAATTATTTGCCAAAGATTCAACTCCTGAAGGAAGTGTCGCACTAAACAAGTACTTTTGTAATTTGACATTAGAACACGCTGCAAAAATTTCGTCGGTTTGTTCTAAGAATCCAAGTTCTAGAAGCTTATCCGCTTCATCCAAGACTAAATGACGCACACTTATTTTATTTTTTTTTTACAAAAATTTATAAATAAATGATAAAAGAGACGAGTTGTTTTTATCAAATATATAAAAAGATGAAATTTACTTTTTCAAATCGATGTGATCTTGCGAAATAGCATGAACAAGGCGAAGAGGAGTACTAATCAAAATATCTTGTAACAAAAAAAAATAGTAATTCTCATTAATAGATTAAAAAAATATAAATTGTAATGTTCTTAAATAGGTAATTACCAAATTTTTGTCTTAATTGAGGATCCTGTGCTTGTGTGGAAGCAGTTGCTTTCGTAAGCATGCAAATTTTAAATTTCTTACCAACACACATCTTTTTGAACTCAATATATATCTAAGTAATAAGAAAATGAATTTTAAGTACAGGTTTGTATTTAATACTACAATAATAAGGTTAATAATAATGTACCTGTTTTGCCAATTCTCTGGTCGGTGATATTATTAATGCACGATAACCTATTTTCTTGTGACTATTTAAATCATGCAAAATTGGCAGTATATAAGCCAAAGTTTTACCAGATCCTGTAGGTGCCATCGCCATGGCGTCCCGTCCCTTTAAAAAGAAGAATGATATATTTTAAATTGAAAATGAATTATATAAATTCGAAGCAATTGCAAAGAAATTCGTACATGTAGAATAATTGGCACCGTTTGCATTTGAACCGGTGTGGGTTTTTTATACCCAGCAGACTCCAAATTCTTGCATAAATACTGTTGAAACCCATATATATTATAAAGATCACTGAAAGAATGAAAAGGGTTTGGAATATCGGTGCCATATACACGAATGCGATGGCGTTTACGGAACATTTTGACCTAAATATTATATAGCATGAAAGGATGGTACTTGTTGAAAAAATGGAACGAATTTGACATTAGATGTTCATACATTTTCTTGTTTGCTAAAATCATTCAATTCAGCAGATTCATCTTGATCAGAGGTTTCATTCTCGTTCTCGTTTTCATCACTATCATCAGTCTCCTCTATATTCGAATTATCGTTATTTTGCTCTGAAATGTTTAAAATTATTATCATTTCACGCGAATTTGTTTGATATAGCTACATTTTTACCTTCAATATATCCGGTTACTCTTTCATTAGACAATTGTTCCTTGCCGAGGGTTTCGATAATAGCAGATTTACTGTTGTGAAAAAAGTCGATTTCTTGAAGAAGATTTGCTTGTGCTTCTTGGTCATTAACATTCTTGACAGGTTTTTTTTGATTTTGAGGCTATTGACGCGGAGAGATATTTAAATTTGTAATGTTTTGGGTCTTTTATAATTAGCAAATTTCCGAATTTGCTAACCTCAAAAAGTGAAATATCAGCATTAAATCTTTTTTTATCGAACTTGGCACCGTTGCCAAGAATATGAAACAGATCCATCACACGATCACTAACGTTAATACTAACGTTAAATTAAGAGAAATTGTAAATTTTTTTTTAATTAAAAAAAAAAAATTTAACGTTATCATTTTAGATTCTAATTTGACCAAAATTCACACGCCCTAATTTCGGAATTATTGTCATTGGATTTTATTTACGTATTTCAAATCAAATATACAAGTTATCGATATATTGATTATTATTACAATTTTTGCTTTATTATATATCTGTATTTATGACAATTATAAAATAAAAAACTCTAATCCAACCATGCTCCATGAACTAATTCTGTCAGAACATTGGTAAAAATCTTGAGTGTCACTCATCGACAATAATTTTTCTTTATTAAACTGTTCTAATGTTAAAATAGCAAATCTACCTTCTTGAAGAGGTCCTGGATTAATTATCAAAGTCTGACCTAGGTGCGAAAGCCCAAAAGCACAATGTGTATGACCGTGAATATTAAACATAATGTTACATTGAGATGAATCTTCTGGTGATAATGGTGTGCTTTTTTTGAGAATATCGCGTATAGATTGACTGATTACATATACAATTATCGTTATATGTTTGTATTTTATACATGTGAGTACAAAGATTAATAAATGACATCTCATACAAATCTTATAAATCTCGATAATTCTTTGTTACCTGCCAGAGTCAACAGATGGATCTTGCAAAGGAAAATTGCTTACATCAGTTGTTCCAACTTCGGTGGGTCCAACATGTGTTACCAAAATAATTTCATCTTTGACATTGTCGAGAAGAGTTGGTAATTTTTCAGCAAGTAGAGATTCAGTATTTCTTGGATAAGCTATCACAAATTTTATCATCAAATCATTATAAATGCATATATTTCATATGAATATATCTAAAAAATAATAAATGTCGTTGAATACCTGGCCATAAAACTTGTTCTGGTGACTTTCTAACCACGGCATCAGTTGATCCTCCGAATCCCACCATGCTCAATCCGGGAACTTTGAGTAAATCGATTAGATTTATCGTTACGAAACAACGATCTAATTATAAAAAAATTTGTACAATTTAGAAACATATACCCAAATTGACTAACTTGTTGTGTATATTCATCACTCTTGAATTTTCATTTTTTCCTTGATAAGCGGATTGGAGAAAAGAAGTATCCGGATCGTGATTCCCTGAGATGATTATTATCATTATCAACTATTTATCGGTATTTACCGTATATATACGTAGTATCAAAAAATAGACAAGAGTGATGAGATCATAAATTACCAGGTACATAGTACAAAGGTTTACCAACATTTTCAAGGGCATCGATTACTTCACGAAATTCTATTTCATCCTTTTGGATGAGATCAAAGATTATACAAATTTAAAAAAGGTCTATTTTGAGTAACGCCGGATATTTAGTGGAAGAATTATTTTAACCTTTTCTGTGGTCATTGGAGTTATATAATCTCTATTGACAAGGTCACCCGATGCGATAATAAAATCAATACTTTATGAATTAATGATTATTAATTGTATATACATGATAAGAAAAATAAATAAATAATCATTCATGGTTACGCATTAATTCCAATTGAAAATGAAGTAAAGCCCACTCTTTGAATCGATCTCTTTGAATTAACCAATTTTTAAGATTTTCTATGTTATCCAAATGATAATGGATATCGCTAACAAGAAGAAATGAGCATCGCATTTTTTTTTATTTTACGTCGATTACGTAGTCAATAGGTGGCCTGATGAAACGATACGATCTGCTGTGATATCAATATGACAACAAATGTAACTTGCATATCAAAGTCTTACAAAGCATTCTTTATCGTACGACGTTATTATTAACATAAAAGTTCATCTGCTGAGAAATCAGAAAAAATAGAGTTAGTGTTAGCTGCAATATATAAAGAGCTGCTAGGTTGGCGTTCTCTAGTTTTACGACTATTTTATTTATTTGTTTTAACTCTGCCTGCCTCCTCTTCTAAAATATTTCTTTTCTTTGATACAAAACAATAAACAAAATGGTTATTAAAGTCGGTATCAACGGGTATCGTATTTATTTTAAACTATTATTCACAGTGTTATTTTTTATCATGAATTATTAAATTAAATTTCTGGTCTCTAAATAATTTTTATCAAGATTCGGTCGTATTGGTCGCCTTGTTCTTCGTGCCTCCTTGAATAATCCTGAGATTCAAGTCGTTGGTTTAAATGACCCTTTCTTGGACCTTGGTTATATGGTTTGTATATTTTCTTGTGGTTATATGTATAAACATTTCTGCGTAGACGTTACACGAACACTTCGTGATTGATTATCTAATCGATATCGCCGATCGATCGCACCGAGAGTACCGAGAGACGTCATTACTAACAATTTCTTGAACAAATTTGTAGGTTTACCTTTTCAAATATGATTCCACTCACGGACGTTTTAAAGGACATGTAGAGGCAAAAGATGGAAAATTTGTCATAAATGGTCATTCTATCGCCGTTTTTGCCGAAAAGAACCCTGCTGATATCAAATGGGGCGAACTTTGCGCTGATTACGTAGTTGAATCCACTGGTGTTTTTACTACTACCGAAAAGGCATCTGCTCATTTGAAAGGTAACATTCTAAAACATTCTAAATTATCTTTTTTTAATGTAAAATTTCCATTTTTTGGCTTGGTACTAATTGTATAAATTTGCCGTTTAGGGGTTTGTGTTTTGATTTTACTTGATGTATATTGTGATTTAAAATATATCTATCTATCAACATTTAATTTCTTGCAGGTTCCGAGAATTAAATTTCTTTAGCTATATATTTTTATGAATTTATTATATATTTTTTTATCATTCTTTATATTTGTACTTTTACGGTTATTTAGTCAAATATAAGTCCCGTAAATTCTATAATTACTTTTTGTTTGCTTTCTAAATTACAGTATTGGATTTCAAACCATCACTACTTATGTTTCTAAAACTTTAATATTGTAGTCATTAGTTAATATAATACATATATATGGGTAACTAGTATCATAATGGTGCCCAGAAACATTAAAGAAATTTTTGTAAAAATTTCGATTTATTTTTACCGGTTTGAGCTATTTGACCACTTAAACAATTTTCGATTTCAAAAAGCTAGAATTTGGGAGACTTAAAGAATTCATTATATAGTCGATACTGTCCAAATGCATACGTATTACTGTTTAATTGCATACTACTTTCATTTCCCGATATGGTTATAAATGCATAATTTCTCTGTCGCCACTTATTTGCGTGAATAATACGGAGAACGTAGAATGGAATTATCCCGGATCAGCCGACACGTAAGCAAAGCGAAGAAAAACACGAAAAAAAAAGAAAAAAACGAAAATACAAGCAACCGAGTGTTTAAACCTGTCTTGGGGCACTAATTAAAAGTGACGGAAATGAAATTTTACATTTAAGAGTAAATGTAAATATTTATTTTTATAGCATCTAACTTCAACGTTCTAACCCTAAATTTTTATTTTCACGAACTTGTTTATTTTTACGTTGAATTTCTTTTTGGGTTTGTAATAAATAAGTATTTCCAATAAGTGCTTGCCCCGAGGGCTGGAAAG